TAAATATCACACTATTCTAACTTTCTTATAGCCCTCCCCAAAGGAACTTTCCACCCTTTACCTGGTAACTGTTCCCCAGGAGAAGGAAATCCCACTAGTGAAATCTAAGCAATGCTCTTCCTGATGCTTTCTGACAGGAAGGAGAGAGAGCCCCACAAGGGATTTAGCTCGTATGGATTCATGGGTAGGAGCAAATGGCTTAGAGGAATTTGGAAAGAACAAAATGGTAATGGACTGGCCTGGGGAAGGTGTGTGACTAGATAAATCAAAATAAACTCAACGCATGAGAAAATGTCCATCTATGCGAATGCCCAACTGTGTCATATGTGAATCCTATGGCAAAAGAGGCTGTTGAATAATTGTGTGGATGTTATGTCCCACTTCGTAAACGTCAATCCTTGTTCCCAGTCATTTTCATGCTCACTCAGTGGGTTTAAAAAAATGGCCACAGTGGCAGAAATGGATGCCAAGCCTGGCTAACCACCATAGGGTACCCTCAACCAAGTTAATGATATGGTTCCTTGAAAGAACAGACATCTACTTGTGGAAAGTTGATTACAATAGACTCTCTTCATAACAGAGGAGGAGATAATTTGTCCTTACAGGAAACGGCACTTATTCTAGATTTGGATGTGTTTCCCTCGACTGTTAGACACCTACTGGAATCTTGCCAAGGCCTCATACACGATTACGGCATCTCAGAGAACACTGCTTCTACCTGAGGACTCCCCAGTGAGAGGAGAGCCCACGAGTGTCACTAGTTTTCTCATTTGTGTCACCCAGAAACATGGAATCATATCAAACTGAATAATGGTGTGACTAAACCTAAAAATCAATAAAAACATATTTTTATAAAAGGCATTGCAACAGAAGAGAAGAAGGAGTGGATATTATGCAGAGGCCCAGACTCAGGGGTGTCTGCAGTACCTGATGATGAGCCTTTGGGTTGCCTCCCTCGAGAGGAGGAGAAGTTTTTAATTATACAGGGAATAAGTGCATTGTGCTAGAATAATGCTCTTTTAAAAATGAACACTCTCGCCAAAACCGGTTTGGCTCAGTGGCAGAGCATCGGTCTGTGGACTGAAAGGTCCCAGGTTCGATTCCAGTCAAGGGCATGTACCTTGGTTGCGGGCACATCCCCGGTGGGGGGTGTGCAAGAGGCAGCTGGTCGATGTTTCCCTCTCATTGACGTTTCTAGCTCTCTATCTCTCTCCCTTCCTCTCTGTAAAAAATCAATAAAATATATTTTTTTAAAAATGAACATTCTCTACCTTGCTGTATTTTTCTTTATAGTACTATCTGTTGTATCACACAGTTGCTGGTAAATTTATTACCCCCTCACTAGAATGTAAGTGATTTAAGGGGCTTTGTTTTGTTCACTACTCTCAGGTGGCACATTGGTCACACTCAATTGTTAATTAGGAATGAACAAATGGAGAATCAGTCCAGAATCTATTTCTATTTCTACCACCTGGATTTTCTTTGGGGGAATGACCTCCATTCCACTCCACTGTGTTCCACCTTAGTAGACAGGGACTCCATGCGCCTTCCTCCTATTATGAAAGGCAAAGGGTCCCTGGAGGCACCATTTTCTTCCAGCTCCAGTGCCACCAGGTGGTGGACGCATCACTAAGCTTTCAGAGTTGATTTGGGGCCTTTGACTCTTGACTAAGTGACCAGGGAACAGAAGAAGTAGTTGGTGTCCCTCATTCCCAAGGGTAGCAGTATGGCCAGTATTACTGTTACAGGCCTTCCTTGGCTCTTTCCCTGTGGATCTTTGGTTCCCAGAAGCAACCCTAACTGTGTCACCCGTTTTCTCTATTGGTTCTCACTATTAATTATGGGAAACCTGACAATCTTCTGCTAAATTTTCTTTTTGCTAAGCTACCCATTTTTTTTTTCTCAACAAAAGAACACTAAAATCAAAACAAAAGAGAAAGTACAGAAATAAGCAGTCTGTATGTGTACAGGGTTGGAGGAGAAATCACCTACAGTCCTGCCATCTTTCTTAGAGGCGGGCAGATTTCACACAGCCCTCAGAAGGAACCAACCTTATAAAAAAAACTATGGTACATCTACACAATGGTTTACTATGCTGCCATAAAAAAAGAAGGAATTCTTATCATTTGCAGCAACCTGGATGGAATTGAAGAACATCATGCTGAGTGAAATAAGCCAGTCAATGAAAGAGAAACACCACATGATCTCACTCATTTATGGATAATAAAGAACATTATAAACTGATGATCCAAAAGATAGATATAGAGACAGTAAAGCAACAAGCAGACTGTCAAATTACAGCGGAGAGGGTAGGGAGATCTGGGGGAGATAAGAGATCAACTGAAGGACTTGTATACATGCATATAAGTGCAACCAATGGACACAAAACTCTGGGGAGGGAGGGCATGTTTGGGAGGGATGGCAATGTTAAGATATGTACACAGATAATAATTTAATAAAAAAAATATATACACAATAAAAAAAATTAAAAAAAAAGGAACCAACCTTGCCAACACCTTGATCTGACTTCCAGCCTCCAGAACCAAAACAATACATTTCTATTATTTGTGCTACTTTGCTATGGCAGCTCTGGCTAACTAAAACATATTGTGTTTCCATTTTTCTATCCCTTGGTTTTCTTAATTATACTGTTTTGAAGCAGTGACCCACACATGACTCCAAATCCATAGTCCACTATAATGACACTGACACTGCAACTTTTTGATATCACAAATAATATTGTGAAGAACATCCTGTGCATGTAGCTTTTTTCTCCTTTTGGATAACTTTCTCAAAAGACATCACTAGAAGTCAATGACTTGACCAGAGAATGCTTCACAGCCTGTGGCTAAACTGCTCTGCAGAAGCATGACAATGAACTTACTGTGTTGCCAAGGGTAGATGGGAATGAGTTTTGAATCTTAAATGGAAAGAACGAACGCTTAAAGGAAAGGAAGGAAATTCTAGGTGAACTAGAGCCAAGCGAGTGTGAGAGCCTGGAAGATGGTGGGAACACTGGACCAGGAGTGAGAGACACAGATGGAATGTCAGACTGGGGCGGTGGAGAAACCTGTAAACTCAGTTAAGGAACTAAGATGTTACTTCAATAATGATGGGGAAAGTTTTGCAAGGAAATAACAAAAAGAGTTGATGTCCCAGCTGGTTTTGCTCAGTGGATAGAACATAGGCCCTTGGACTAAAGAGCCATGGGTTTGATTCCAGTCAAGGGCATAAAACTCGATTGTAGGCTTGATCTCCAGCTCTGTAGGAAGCAACCAATAGATGTGTTTCTCTCACATTGATGTTTCTCTGTCACAGTTTCTCCTCCTCCCTTCCATAATAAGTCAATGGTAAATATCATTGGGTGAGGATTAACAAAACAAAACAAAAGAATTGCATATGAACAGTATCTCTGACTAGAGTGATAAAGCTCCACCCAAGGAAGCCATAGGGGAGGGCAGTTGCTGAAGGTCAGGGTTAAGGAGCCTGAGAAGCAGGAGCTGCTGAGGACTAGACAAGTGACCAGGGATGAAGGGAATGATTCCCAGGTGTTTGGCCTGCTCCCTTGAAAGAATGGCAAAGGCATCAGTGACAGGAGGACAGAAACAAGCACTCTTGGACACCTGAGCTTGAGATGATCACAGATTTCCTCAACATCCAGCTGCCATCTAATTTCCCTTTGCTTCTGCCTCCTGTTTGATGAAAGAGTCTCGCCTCAATTCCTCTAATATGTGTGGTGTGAGTTAGAAACCATGTCAACTTACTGCACAAGTCACCAATTCTCTGACCTCTTACATGCTAGCCCTCCCAGGACACCCTCTTCAACAATGTCTGTGTCCTTATTGCCCCATCTAAAGCAAGAAGGAAAGAGAACAAGAATTCCACACCTCCTTGTTCTCTTTCCCTTCTCTCCCTGAAATTTAAGTGTTCTCCAAGTAACACCCTTAGTTTCTTTCAAGTCTTTTGAAAATACATTACTTTAACTCTCCCCGCTTCTTACAGCTCCCACTGCCAGCATCGCGGCGAGCAGCAGTGCTATAACCAGAGCTCAGGCCTAGGCTGCGGCTCCTGCCGCCCAGCTCACCTCTCGCATGCCTACCCCAACACATTCATTTTTAAAAATGAGACAGTAAACCTAGCAATTGAAGCTAATCATGAGTAGTCTGCTGCATTTTTTAAAATGCAGTATAGTTCAGTGGGTACAGCATGGGCCTTGCTATTGAAAACTCTGTGTGACTTGAGGTAAATCCCATTTCTGCCACTTCCTGAGTGAGTGACCCAGGGCAGCTCACCTATCTAAACCTAGGATTCTTTCTCTGTAAACAGGAAAATACAGAATCTATCTGGCTCCGAGTTAAGAAGATGAAATATGTGAATACATCCAAGCACACAGGATGGTGTCTGCCATGTGGTAGGTTCTCAATAAAAGTCGGCTCTCTCGCCCAGTGCCACAGGACAATGCCAGTATCCACCCAGCTGACTGGCACGAACATAAATGTTAGTACAGGGAAAGATTGCCTTTTTTTTAGGAGTTTAAACATCTTCCCAAAACATGTGGTATTATTTCAAATCAACAATTGGATAAGTACTATGGCAGCATATTAACTACCATATTAGATAACTTTTCTTTGGTGTTTAAACAAGTATTGGTGAATCTTAAATATCCAGAAAGAGCTTCAAGGAGATTAAGGCGAACCCCTGGGACTGCATTCTGGGTCGGCTGTCACCCTGCAGGAACACGGAGATACACAGAAAGGAGCGAACTTCTCATACTCAGGGCCACTGTGATGACGCACAGCACCCACCCGGGACAAGACAGCTGATGACAAACCCAATTCCTCAGGTGAGCCTTCCTCACAGTCAGGAAACAACTACCTGGCCCAGAGACAGGCAGAAAGTCCAGTGACCTGGACACCTTGGTTTAACTGGAGAGTCAAAGCAAGGGTTCCACACCAGTTGCTGAAAGGGGAGACCCCGAACGGGAGGCCTGTGAGACTTACTATTGGATGCTCGCATCTGCCGCCGCCGTCCCACGCGGTCCAGCCCAATGGGGGTGCTCTGGGAAAATGTGAACGGCCGGAACCGGGCCGAAATCGCTTTGTAGGGTGGCACCTGGTGAGCTGGCACGGGCGGCCTGGCTGCTGGCTACAAAAGGAAAGCAAGAGGCTGTGAGACGAGGCCAGGAAGTGGCAGCTCAGCAAGCTCTTCACACACACAGCTGCAAGGAGCTCAGCGTTCTCACCTCAAAGCTCCTCGCAGATGTGACATGGTTTCCCCAAAGCATGTGAAAAGCTTGCAGCTGCTCTGAAGCTCAACTGCAATGAGTTATTCTGACGTTTTTAAAAAATCAGTATCAACCCACTGGCTCTTACCTGGCAACACTCAGTAAAAGGAAAATGTTAGTTAAGAAGAGGAAAAGCAAATGTAGGAAGTGGTGGCTTTCCCAGAGATAGAGGGTCACAGGTTAAGAAGATGTGTTCCCAGCAGCAGCCTTCAGAAGAAGCAAAATCAGTGCCAAAGACCATGGCGAAGGTGACCAATTGTGGCTCAGCTATTTACTCTGGTCTCTACATATCCATGTGCAGGTACCAGCTCAGTATTTATGGAATCCAATTCTTGTTTACCTAAACTAACGAGACAATTGAGCTTTGTTTAAAAGAAGAGTTGGTTTTTCAAACATTTGCCCTTGTCTACAGAATCATCTCTATGCCCTTTTGATTTTCCACATTATCAGTCCCTATAACTGCAACACAGGTCAAGCTGCTTAGTGCTTTCCTTAGGGTTTTCACCGAGTTCCCTAAATGAGCTTACAGTGCAGAAAGTTATCTGCCCACACTCCTTTTTGATGTTCTAAAGTGAAATAAATTTTAAGTGCTTTACATCTTCCCTATTCGGTGTATTGTGAATTAAGAGGTCACCGTTTGTTTTAGTTCAGAATTATTTCTCAGCATGCAGAGCATTTAAACACAGCAAAATGTTTGTGGTATTCTTCAACTTATTTTGTTTTTACCTTAGGAATTCAATTCAACTTAGCAAGAGAGTTTTGCATGCTCAATGGATAGACAAGGTGCTGTGTTGGGCTTTACAGGTGGAATGTAAACAGAAAATCTATACCGACACAGACTTTCCCTTTTAGGAGAATTTTATGGTTCTGATATCAGCCAGCAAATTTAAAATATAAAATTGGGCACTCACTCATGTACTGTTTGGTGAGCCCTGGGCCATGGCTGGATATTGCCAAGTAACAGAAACTCCTCCTGACCAAGGCCTTTATTTAAATGTTTTGTATCCTCAAAGAGTCTTTTGAGTAACTGATAAATATTTGCTGAATTACTACATTATATTAAGTGAATGAAATTAAGATTTTAATCTTTTGTTAAAGCAATTGAAAAACTGCAACACAAAAGCAAGAAAATGGTAGAAAAAATTATTTCCTAATAAAAACAACTTCTTTGTTCTCTTCTCATCTTTAGTTGTTAACAATGGATGATGCTTTCAGCTTCTTCTTTCAGGAAGCTCACTAAATATGTACTGCTATTTTCCCCTTGTTCAAATCTCAGATGATTTGGAACAAACATTAAACTACTTTCACACATTATTCAAGATCCCAGCAAAGACAGAAGATTAGTAAAACATCCAAATGTCAGATTATTAGTTCTAATATGTGCAGTTTGCAAAGTCCAGAAGAAAGGTTGTGAGTAGATGACATCATCGAGTCGGGAAAGAAAGGAAAGCAGCATTCCGTTTAGTTTGCAGGGGGAACAAAGGCCAGGAAGCTGAAGGCTCTGCTGCTTTGGCAGAAGCACACCAGATCTTACTTGGGTTAGAAGAGTCTCTATTGCTTCTGTCTGGCTGTTCCCATAAAAGCTGACCCCGCCTATCACGGAGATGGGGCGCCTTCTCTGGCATCCTTTGGGGCAGCCCGTGGCTGCATTCTGGTCTGCGGGGGCCGTGGAGGCCATGCTCAGCTGGTGGTCATTGTCCACAATGTCCTCCTTCTGGGGGTCCACAGCAATTGAGTCTTCAGGAATAGACAAACTTCGACAGGCAAACTGGCCATAGTCTGAGAGTGGTCGAGGCCGGGACCTCCTCCCAGAGCCCCATCGCCTCCTGGGGGTCCTCTGAGCCTCCTTCCCATCTTCCTCCAGGGATGAGCCCCGCCTCCAGGATTCCTCAGTAAAAACCTTTTCAAATTTGAACAAGTCAGGTGAGTGCCAATATCAGGAAGGGATTAAAAAAGAACATGCTACACATTCCCCTCTACCCTCCCTCAGCTCCACCAGGAGGCTTTCTGGATTTACTTGTTTTTGTGTAACAAACATAATTGAAATGTGGCTTAAAATAAGCAAGTCTATCTTCAATTGTAAGTTGAATTAAAATTAATTTAAATAGTGATGTTTGGTGACTAATGAGCCCTGATAAAAGATATTTTAAAAATCAGTACCATTAGGAGTTATAAAAAGAACTTTTAGGTATGATAGGGTGTCACCCAAAATACATATGACAATAGCATAGGGGAAGGCAGGTCTGCCAGTAGAAGAATGAATGCGCAGTGCTATCCACTGCTACTCTAAGGTACTGTATTGCAATAATGTTTAAAAATAGAAGGTGCTTTCAGAAGATTAAGTCTGGGTTGCTAGGGAAGGAGGGGAAAGTGCTGAATTAGGATTCCAAGAACCAGATCAGGCTAATAACTAGCTGTGTGAGCTTGGACATCTCTCAAGTGACCCTTAAGGATTTCAGGTTTCAGAGTAGACATTACCACAGCTGCAGAGTCTATGATCCTAAATTAGACAAGATGTTCTAATTTTTCAAGTAACTTTTTCAGGGGCAATGCAATATACTAGGGGAAAAGCCATAAGGCTTGAGAATGAGCAGACTTCGATGTAAGTCAGATTGGGCCCCTAGCTTTATTAACTTCAGGCAAGCTACTTCTGTGGAAGTGGTTCTGTAACTGCTCCCTAGGGAAAAATGGATCCTAGTGCGGAAGAAATACAATGGTAAGAGCCCTATCCGCCGTAGTTAATCATCCCTCTTAAGAAAGCACTGCCACACAATTACAGTCCCCTGACTGGCACAGCCTGGAGATGAGCTCCACCTCTACAGACCCTCAGAGACTGGTCTCCGAGCTCTATGGGAGGGCAGTGAGAGGGGTCAGCCAGCCAAAGTCTGCTGCAGGCCTGGGACCTGGGTGCCTCCAGTTCCTCCATCCCTATACATTATTTAAAATACAATAAAAGCATACGCAGGCACCAGAAGGGAACTAATTTACCCAGAAAACGCATGTGACTGCAGGGCAGGCCACCTAACGGAGATGGCCAGATGAACTGCTGTGGCATCCCCTGGCAAACCAGCCCAGCCCCGCCCCGCCCCGCCCACGCCCATGGGCACTGCTGGTCCAGGAAGTCCCACCTATTGCTAATTGGTGGCAAATGAGACCTGAAATGCAGGTCCCATAATTTCCAATCTGGTGTGTCCAAGCGTCCCCTAAGATCACATACCATAGGAAATGCGCTGAAGAGCAAAGCAAGCAGGAAAGGACTTACAGATACTCTACCCTGTGCCCATCATTTTTTAAATCAGGAAAACTGAGACCTAGGGAAGTGATTTACTGAGGGCCACACAGCCAATGAGCAGCAAGAGACACAGAAATGTGGGCCTTGTAATTTCTGTTTCCACGATATCAAGTCACCTCTGCTCAAAGGAAGATGGCTTCTAGCATTCACCAATGACCTTGCTATCTAGTAAGTCTACTGCCCAGAATGCTACCTCTCATTTAAGTCTCCACTGAAAGGGTCCAGAATACACCACCATGGCCTTCCATCTGTTTGAGCTGAAGGTATTTAAGAATGGGCTTTTTTTCCCCCCCTTGAATTCCCTCATCTGCCTTAATCCAGGGTCTCCCAGAAGAACTCAGTTGTCATGATCTGCTCCTCGGATAGAGTTTCTTCCAACCAGGGAAGATGCACTCTTACCGCTGCAGAGGAGAAGCCCTCACCTACACAGACCGGGTCACAAAACCATCCTCTCTCTCACCCACTCTTCACAGTCCCAGCTCCTTTCCTAAAAGTCAGCTGTTTTCCCATCAGCACCCCTCCCCCTCATTAAGATGGTATATAAGCCCCCAATTCGAACACTTCCTGGAGTCACACTTTTTTATGAGCTCCCACTTACCTACATGAGTAAAAAAATGCCTTTTATCTCACAAATTTACCTTTTGTCAAATTTAATTCTAAGAACCTCTAAGCATAAACCTAAGAGGGTATAGGAAAAGTTTTTTCTCTGTGACACTGCCCTGGGAAAGTATAAGAGAAGTCATGGAAATGTTTATATTATTTTATTACATTACATATGAACAACAGGTTTTTATGGATAGTTTAAATTACCACATCAAATGGCACAGACAACTTAAGCACGAAATGAGACTAAACCTATTTATTTTATCACCCTGTGATAAAAAGGTTCAGAAAGAATGTGCTAGAAAAACAGAAGTACAACAAAATTACGGGCAATGGGTAGTCTGGTCATAAATCTATATGAGGTTTTGATTGCTCTTATGCAACATGCAGCCTGCTTTTCCTCACTGATGCAAACAAAATAAGAAAATGGGTTTATGAAAACAAGGAGTTGTCTTTGCTGTTCAGGTAATAAATCTTCTGAGACCAAAACACACACCCGGAAGTGATGGAGGCTGAGAGCAGGGAATTAGAGGGCAGGAAGTGGCCAGCACAGGCTTGACTCCCTCACACCTCAGGCCTCTGGGGGCTACCGGCCTGCACGGGAGCACCCCCGGGAAGCAACTTACTTCCACCGTAGCTATTTATACAGCCCAAGGAGGACACCCCCTCCAAGTGGTACCAAATGTTCTGCGAAACTTAATTAACAGAATAACATATAAAATTGAAATGTCCCTTTTACTCCTAGCAAACATACCGAGGGAAGGAGGAAAGAAGGTAGGGAGCATTGTAAAGTCCCTCAGCGTTAAACTCACATTCAAATAGGGATCCTTAGCCAGAAGTGACTTACATTCCTCACAGAACAAATCTGATGCATATTCCAAGACTAAATCTTCTTTTAGCAAAGTGTACCTACTTCCAAAATACGACCTACTTTCATCCTGGGAAGCACTCTGAGTGTGATTATACCTGGAATTACAAATCCAGCACCAACAACAACACTCTCCACTCACCTACCTCGGACTCTGCTACAGGCAGTGGCGACCCGCAGACACACTGAAGGAACAAGCAATGACTACATCCATGCTCTCTGAGACTTCTTCCCACCGTTAACAAACTCAAATCGGGGGTTAAGTGGCCAGAGATCTGCTCAGTCAGCTTTTGCAGGCAGATCAGCAGCCTGAGCTTCTAGGGTTCTCTTAGCTTGAATGGCCAATTCACACCCAAGTCATAAACCTTTGCAAACACACTTTTCAGTTTAACTCTTGCTTCTCAGTACAGTTTTAAAGCACTTTCCCTAGACAGCTATTCTTTCCATACAAAATTCCTTTCTTTACAAAAGTAAAAAACCAAGACAGATTTCATTACCTCTGATTAGATACTTTAAAACATTTTTTTGAAACCACAGCGAGATTAAATTACTACCTGGAGGTAAAAAGAAAGAAAAACTCGGGCAGAAAAACTGATGTCGCTTGTGTCTGTTCAGAAGCCTGACTGGCAAAGTGCTGGGTTGAATTGTATCCTCCTGTACGACATGTTGAAGTCTTGACCCTCAGCACCTGTGAAGTGATCTTACTTGGAAATACTAAGCAAAGATTAGCTCATACTGGATTAGGTGGCCCCTAGTCCATTGGCTGGTGCCCCAAGAGGAGGAAAAATCTGAACACAGACAAAGACAAAAGGAAGAAGGGATGTGAGAACAGAGGCGGAGATCAGAATGATGCATTTATAAGCCAAGAAACCCTAATTCTCTCCCCTAGGGACTTAGAGGGAGCTTGGTCCTGCCCACACCTTGATTTCACACTCTGGCCTCTACAACAAAGAGATACATGTTTTGAGCCACCCAGTCTGTGGTAATTTGTTATAGTAGCTCTAGGAAACTAACACAGTAAGGGAATTCAGAAGAAAATATTCTAGGCAAAAAATTAAGATCCTTTGTGTAGATTTAAAAAATAAACTAAAGCAAAGAGACTTTACTTTAAATAAGCCAAGGTACTTTCAGGATACTGTTAATGTCTTGCCCTAGCCAGTTTGACTCAGTGGATAGTGTATGCCGTGGACTGAAGGATCCTGGGTTCGATTTTAGTCAAGGGCACATACCTTGGTTGCAGGCTCAATCCCGACCCAGGTTGGTTGGGGTGAGTGCAGGAGGCAACCAACAGTGTTTCTCTCACATGGATAATTCTCTCTGTCTCTCTCCATCCATTCTCTCTAAAAATCAATGGATAATATCCTCGAATGAGGGTTAACAAAAAGGAAGCCTCCTTAGATACTGAGAATCCTGGATTCTGTAAGGAGGGCAGGTACAGTCACCAAGCTGGAGGGGAGAAGAAAGAACATCTAGACAATGCAGAGGACTGCAATAATGACACTAATGAGAACTATATGCCAGGCACGTGTTTCGTTATTTAACCTCCACAACCACCCTAAGGATGTTTTATTTGCCACATTTTATAGTTTAAGGCTTTGAGGCTAAAATAAATAAAATTACTCACTGAGATTAATAGAGCCAGAAAGGGGAAGATCCTAATTTATAACCAACTTATTCATCTCATTGTAGAATCTTTGTCTGTTTCACTCTGCAGCCCTGGTGCAGACTTAAAAAGTCTTTATTTTTTTTTAAATTATAGATCACAAACAATATTGTATTAGTTTCGCATGTACAGCAGTTATTTGATACTGAAATACCTTATGATGTGATCACAATAAATCTAGTATCCATCTGTAACCTACAAAATTATTATATTACTAGAGGCCCCGTGCATGAAATTCACGTATGGGGGAGGGGGGGAGGGGAAAGGGGGTGTCTCTCAGCCCAGCCGGTACCCTCTCCAATCTGGGACATCCTTCTCACAATCCAGGACTGCTGGCTCCTAATCGCTCGCCTGCCTGACTGCCCCTAACCATTTGTGCCTGCCAACCTGATCACCCCCTAACCACTCCCTTGCGAGCCTGATTGATGCCTAACTGCTTCTTTGCTGCCTGACTGCCCCTAGCTGCCCTCCCCT